AAAACATGCCTACAATAGAGCTAATACCCTCTCCGTCTTGTCTTGAAATTCTCCAGTGTTCCAAAGAATGTATATATATTTTGACTGAAGAAAGTACACTGATTTTGTATATCCAATTTTGACACAAAGTATGGGCTATATATTTTCATCACATGCTGCTAATTTCTTATTTAAAAGAACATTTTTGACACTTCGATTAAAAAAAGAGAGAGAGTGATTTGGTGATGGGAAACCCATGGGGATTACAATTGAGATGAAAAAAAAATGTGAAAAATGATGTAAAAATAAACTTTTTAATAAAAAAAAATAAAAAAATAAAAAAAAAAACAAAAAAAAAAAAGAGAGAGAGAGAAAGTTAAGGTGTAATAGGTGGACGGTGAATGAACACCAGCCTTAGGTGAACAAATGAATGAGCTACTGATGGCACAAGTCTAGATAGCAGGAAATTGGATAAAAACAGACACAGAAAGAGGTACAGAAAAAGGACAGATGACCTTGATAATTTAACGAGAAGAGAGGCAAGGCACTAGAGTGGAAAGAGAATAAATAGACTTGAAGATAGATATCTGGATGGATTCTGAGTTTCCCTCAGCCATCGTGTGACCTTGGACAAACAACTCAACCTCTCTGAACTTTATTCTTCTGAAGCAATTTTAGACTTACAGAAAAAAATTGCAAAAATAGTGAGTTCCCGTATACTCTTCATCCAACTTCTCTGAAGTTAGCAACTTTCATAACCACTAAAACCAGGAAATTCACATTGATATATTTATACTAACAAATTATATATTTCATTAGAATGTCACTAGTTTTTTTTAAATATATGTAAGACTTATTTATCCATACAGAACTGGGGTACAAGCAGAGATGCAGGAGTGCTGGGACACCAGAGACAGAGTGGGGAGCAGCGGGCAGGTCAGGAGAGGTCCGCCATGCCATGTGGATCATCTCTGTGGCTAGGGATTGAACTCACACTGAAGTGGCTGTGGCCAGCTTGCAGTGCTGTGCCCTGAGCCGTTGCACCACCAGGGAGGGCCTTCACTAGTTTTCTTGCCCAAGAACCAATAAAGCCTATACACTGTGTCTGGTGGCTATGTCTCCTTGTCTCCTCTAGTCTTTGTTCCTCAGTTTTCCCCTACCTTTTTTTTTTTCTTATAATTTTTTTAAAGATTTATTTATTTATTCATACAGAACTGGGTACAGGCCAGAGATGCGGAGGGTGAAAGGATTCACCAGAGACAGAGCAGGGAGCAGAACAGGCAGATCAAGGGAGTACACTGCTGAGGGGAGCAGCGGGCGGGTCAGGAGAGGTCTGCCATGCCATGTGGATCTCCTCCGGGGCAGGCGGGGATCGAACTCATGCTGAAGTGGCTTTAGCTTCTTAGTGCTGTGCTTTAACCCGCTGCACCACCAGGGAGGGCCCTTCCCCTACTTTTATGGCCTTTGGATGAATAGAATGCTCCCTCAGTGAGAGGCTGCCCGACATTCTTCCCCTCATAATCAGTTTGGGTTATTACATTTTATTCATTTATTGACTCATTGATTCAGTCAGAAACTCCATGGAGATGGTGCCCAGCCTTGCACAGGGCCTCCTCTCAGGAGGTGTTTATTAAGTGTCATGTCTTCTTAATGAGCATATCGGCCCTGAGCACTTACTAAGATCCTGTCCCCAGGGCTTCCCCACTGTCTAGCACCCCTTTTATAATTAACAAATATTCCATGGAGAGATACTTTGTGACTAGGCAAATATCTTATTTCTCATCATTTGTTTGCATAAACATTTTAGCACCCATCAGTGACTTGCCTGTAGCAATTTATTATTTCGGTGTCCTAAATGAGATTCCTCTTTCCTCTTTCCTTCTGCTTGTACTAACTAGGATTCTTCTCTAAGTAAGAGCTGGTCCTTTCCTCTCTTCCCACTTATTTATCTATTCAATTATTTATTTACATCAATATGGATGCATAAATATTTATAATCTAGTACTAGATTAGATTTTGTTGGTTAAGCTTCACTTTCCTCATCTGTGAGGCTAATTAGAACTGCATTATATAACTCTCATAAATATTCACTGGAATTGAAAAACGTGCAGGTGTCTAGTGTACCTACAAATAAAATTCTAGCTCCTTCTCTTCCTCTTTTTATAGAAAGCAAAGTCATGCAAAATAGGAAAATCTGAATTTAAGAATATTCTTTGACTGCAATGCACTTTTTTTACCCTAAGTTATACAAAGCAACTAGAATTAGCTATATTTGTATTGTCTAGTGGAGGTTATTTGGAATCTGCTTTTAATGTCTATGCAAGAGTGATTCTAACTGTAACTAGTATTAAAAATATAGCCTTTTTTGGGGTTATGGTATTACAGGACTACTTATTAAGTACCTTCCAAAGAAGAAGAGCACATAAAGAAATTCAAAACATAACAGAAAAACAGCAACAAAGCCAATAACGAGAAAGACGTTTGGAATATCCTATACTACTATTTTCAGTACTAGAATTACCACTACTATTACTATATAAGCACAGATTGATGTTTCACCCAACAAAGAACAATGTACAATGTACAATGGTGGTCCCAAAATTCCCATTACCTAGTGATAAGACTGAATTTTAATCAGCACATCATGATTTGTACGAAGTTAGATGTTTGAGAATACTTGAAAACAGAGTGTTCTCTTAAGTAGTTTAAGTGTTTTCCCAGAAAGCTTGTTTATGTTCTAAAGTTGCTTAGCTAAACTATTTTCAGAGATCATCCAAAGCATGTCTCAACCCAGCTGGGGTTCATATCAACACTAATTCCGAATTAGTGAAATCATCGATTCCTCTTCGATTCCTAAGGTCATGGTAGGGAATGGAAAAAATCCATGTTTTCTTTTTCCAAAGTGAATTTAAGAGCAGAGTTTAAAAGTTCAGGCAAATCACTTTTAGGTTCAGGTGGAATTTAGCAACAAAGGGCAAGGATAGAGGCCTAAGGGTGCTTGTGTGAGTAGATACGGAAGTTTAACTCATGGAAAACAGTAAAGTCTACTAATAAAGTCACTCAGTTTCTGGGGCTTTCACTTTCCACCTCCTTTTCTCCCCCGACTTGAATTTAGAGAAGAGGAACCAGGTTGTATCCTCTGTTCCTCTGCATTTTATTTTTTTAAATACAGGTATAACTGATATTCCACCCTGATTTTTTCCAGTAAGGAAAATCAAGAACATCAGGTTTACTTTTTTTTTTTTTTTTTTTTAAAGATTTATTTATTTGTTCATACAGAACTGGGGTACAGGCCAGAGGCTCAGGGGCGGCGAGAGGCTTCACCAGAGACAGAGTGGGGAGCAGAACAGGCAGATCGACGAAGTACACTGCTGAGGGAAGCAGCGGGCGGGCCAGGAGAGGTCTGGCTCGCCATGTGGTCTCCTCCGGGGCAGGCAGCAGGTGGGAATCGAACTCATGCGGAAGTGGCCTCAGATTCTCAGTGCTGCGCTTTAACCCGCTGCGCCACCAGGGAGGGCCCCAGGTTTACTTTTAAAAGCAACTCTGAGGCAGTGTGGCTCATGAACTCTGGGTGAACTATCAGTCTATTTACTCAGTTTGGCATGGGAACAAGAACCTGAAATTTTAGCAGGCATCACCCTCCAGCATGCACCTGAGTCAGGTAAGAGGCAGAACACTTCAAGGTTCAAAGCTCAGTTCTTGGGTTTAAATCTCACTAGTGCTTTGGCAAATGCCTTCACCTCCTGTTCCTCAGTGTGCCCCTTGGAAAGATGGGGTTAATGAAAGTATCTGTCTCGGAGAATTATTGTAAGGCGCAAATAAGTGTACATGTTAAGGATCAATATGCTTGATGGGTATCAGAGATCTTTATAAAGAGCAGATCTCCTTGCGGAACAGTGTCTGGGCCTGTCGGGATACAACTGCAGGGCTTATCTAAAACACTTTCTGCATCATGGTTCTTGCTGTGTCACTGGCACATCCAGGTTGTGACTGGCAGACACAGGCTGCAAGGTGAGCTGCTATAGTTAGAAAGTGTCTAAGTAGCAAAGGCAGATTGACCCTTTGGCAATCACAGATCTACAGAACCCAGAACCAGAGCATCCTCTTAGCATCTAGGGAGTTTATTAAATGATAAAATAAGAAACTTCTGTGTTTGTTAAGCCAATCAACAAACAAAAACACATAGAAATTTTGTGTTTTAATAGTCAAGGCAGCAAAAATCAAGTCTAAGCGAGCAAAAATGCACAGTACAAAATGCCAAGTAAGAGACTATACTGTGCTGGAGTCTCTGACCCTTCGTGATTCTCCTTCCTGTCCCTCATCCTTGCCCCAGGGCCACAGACACCAGTCACTGTCTTCCCATTCCCACATTCCTCCTCAGACCCTAGACTTCTCACAGTGCCTCTCTTCACCTAAGTGTCCTCGGACTCTGGTTACAGCAGTCCTCTTCATAGCCAGCTCTGGTAAGGTCTCAGAGGCCTTGGAGGGCCTGTCTGAGGCTCAGCATCTTGATGGGATCCCCCTCAATCCTACAGTACCCCTCTCCCACCCCTAGCCCTCCTTACCTGACTACACTGGTTTTTCGGTTTCTGCTGAGGAGGCTTGGTGGTGGAAGAGGGGTAGGCTACATGCACCCCAGGGGTCATGTTGTCAAGACTCAAAACTGGTACATCTGACCTTAAAAGGCCTTTAGGAACAGGGAGAGAATATTGGAAAATGGGTCCAGAGAGAATATTTTGGGGACTGGTTGTCCTAAGAGACAAGGCCTGTGGACTTGGTAATGGTAAGAAATGGCAACAGGATTCATGAGGCTTAATGAAGCTTAAGGGTGTGCTGGAATGAAGTGAAAGGGAGGACAACAATGTGTTATTTAGCTCACTGCCTGGAAAGAAAGCACTCATCACGGAAGTGGCAAGCAGACAGGCAGCCAAGACATCAGTAACAGGCAAAACTCAAAGAAGAAATCTGCTTAAAAGTCTTCTGTGATGCAGTTACAAAAACACCCTAGAATGACTTCTTACCTCATTAAATCTCATCACAAGATCTTCAAGGGCATTGTGCTCTCCATTCTGGGTGGTAAGAACTGAAGCTGAGATGGATGCTTTAAGGGAGGGCAGAGGCCTCTGACATTCTGGCATGCCCAAGCCCCGAGTTAAGAAGCAAAGGTAGTCAACCGGCAAGACCCTCCGGTAAATATTCTGTTCCTGCTCCATTAGGATGCTGGCGACTTCCTCGGGGAACTGAATGAGGGGCTGTAGATCAACCAGTTCTTTGCTGATCCCAGATGAACTTGAAGGGAGGGCACTGGAATTGGCCATAGACGTACCTGGTTGCCGTTCTGAAATAAAGCCACAAGAGTCGGGGTTATTCCCTGGCTGGTATTTCCAAGAACAGACATTCACCTGCAAACTGTTCAAATTTTGTAATTTTCTTAAACCAAAAGTGGCCACTCTTTCTTATTATGAAAACTTTTGTGATAGTTGTCCTGTATTTTCTGGAGGGAAGTGGAGTGAAGGGTGGGGGTAGAGATAAAGGTGTAGTTTTCCATTTTAAGAAGCAGCATTGACCTGATATGCCATTCTGTAACCAGTTCACTTCACACAGCAGCAGAGAAATAAAAAGTACCAGCTGTTTCCTAATCTTTCATTGGCGTTAGAAGAAATGAAGGCACAGCCAATGAAAATGGAAGATAAGGGCGAGGGGGCATTACATGTACATTGTGTGTAAACATGCAGGAAACATGGGATCGTTTGAACACAGATTTTAAAACTTAAATTTAAAAAAGTCTGATCTTCCCCCACCAATCTGTCTCTTAATTTTCTGCCTATAACTCATACATTCATTCATCTACTTAACCATTCACACAATCTTTTAAAAAATCCTGAAAATATATAGTGAGTTTTAGAACAGGATTTCCCAGAATATGAATGGTTTTATGATCAACTAATTTGGGGCAATGTCATATAGTCACATCACACATCTCTTCTTTGGAATACATGAGGCACATGGGTATACCATTAAAGGTGCAATGAATAAATTAATTGATATTACTCAGCTAAATGTTACCTAGAATCATCCATACTTTATAGAACACAGCATTCTGTGAGACTAGCATTTCTTGGAACCACTTCAGGAAATGCTGCCTTGTGGGTGAAGCTGCTATCACTGTCCATCCAGTTCATGTCTTTTCCTTCTGACCATTCCTCCTGGGCCAACCTCCTTCACGCTCTTATTGCACTTCAAGAGGGGCCTGCATTCTGCTCGCCTAGAATCTTTTTTTATATTCCTGGTTGTTGGAAACACCCCTGTTGACTCCTTGGAAAAATCAAGTTTATCTGTCCTCTTGTGGCACCACATTACTCATCTGGACTTGAGCAAGGGAAGAGGGTGACTTCCTCCATCCTCTTGAGACTCTTTTTGTCTCTCTTAGAACATTGGATTCATCACTTCCAAAGATTCCACTGCATATTATTAAATTCTAAAGTCATCACCCCTGAATTTGACCTCCTTTTTCTTTCTACCCTTTCCTTTCTACTTAATCTTTTGTTTTCAGCAGACTTCTAGATCCTTGCCCTTGGTCTGGGTGTGTGGTTGGCATCTCAACATGGCACACCAACATCTGCCCCCCTTTCCAGTCCCTCCGACTTTCTGCCACCCGCACTTCCCAACCCTAGGCAAGCCCAACCTTCTGGGCTCTTACTCTAGGGTCATTCTGACATCTGTGCTTCCTAGTGGTATGACCCTTTATTAATTGATGTTATCCAAATTCAGCAAGACAATCAAGGCTGCTTCAAATCTGACATGTGTTTACAGCTGACCCATGAATAACATGGGTTTGAACTGTGCAGGTCACCTATAAGATTTTGAGGACATAAACTTACAGTAGCAATAAATTGGATTAAATTTGTAGGCAGTTTTTTAAAACTAAGTATTAGATTCATATGACTGTATATTTTACTCCTTGAATGGCATAATTCCAATGATAAACCTAAGAACAGAGAAAGGAGGGGTGTTGATTGTTTGTTATAAATGATTTGGAGTTGGCTTAAAGACTTGAAATCTCAGGCAGAGCTGAAAATTGCTTTTCAACAGGGAGGTGACAGGTTTAGAGAAAGTTTAGTTAATTGGATATTCTTTCTCATTATCTGTTATTGGTTTTCAAAGAAACAAATCAATTTTGTAAGATGTTTGGCTTGTCTTCAATCTACTTGAGAAAGGTTAGCTCACAAAGTCAATGAAGCATATTATTTCTTAGTCAGCACTTCAAATAAAAGAAAAAAACAATATGCTTAGGTTGAGAATTAAGTCATATTCAGATTTAGTAGTTCTCCAGACTGAAGAACATAGTAGAAAAAAAGCTGATAGAATCCTTACTGATAAAAGTAGTATCATTCCAAATAGAGATGATGATTTACTGTAAAAGCATGAAAAATCTAGGGAAGTATAAAGAAGAAAATAATAGTAATCAATAATCCCATGCCTAGGTATAATCTGTGTTGCTAATATTTTTGTTGTACATTTCATGTTTTTTTATAAATACATAGTATTTATAAAACTTAAGTTAAAAAAAACCTACTCTAAAATACACATTTCTCCAACCCTAAAAGTAGCCTAATATTTGATTTAAATAATTCTTTTGTAGCCAATATTTATGTTCACCACTTTTGATTCAATTTTAAATAATAATTTGAGAAGAGTACTGTAAATATATCTTTATATGAGCTTTTTTTTAATAATATGGCACATGAGAAAAACTTACAATGGAGAATTTCTAAGGAGTAGTAGTTTCTTTTCTTTTCATAGCACAGTAACTAGCTGTTTTGGCAGCATCTCTCACTGACCACCTACCTATTTCTGATGACTTTGGATAAACAAAACTAACTGAGCCAAAATTCATATGGTAGGTGGCAACATTGTGTTGTTCTGTGTAGAGCACAATTTTTAATACAAGTGGTGAGAATGGATATCTTTGGCTTCTGTTCAAAGTGGAAAGTTTTCAGTCTTCTACTATGAGGCTTTATGGTGGAATTTTTACAGATACTCTTTATCACATACTTGTCACAAATGCAACTTACAGTATTAGAATATCTGTAGTATTCACAACACAAGGCCCTTCTTCTATGCTTTTTGAATGCTTTTGTCTTGGAACGGTGTTGGATTTTGTCAAATGCCTTTTCTGTATCTATTGAGATTGTGATGTGGTTGTTATCCAATTGTTCTATTAATGTGATATACTAATTTGAATGATTTTCATGTTTAACTGTACATTCATTTTCATATGGATATACATGTTTAAGTACAGTCTAACTGAGAAGAGGGGCTTTATGCAAAAGCAAAAATACATTTGTTGTCTATTTGCAATTCTGGTGCTAATTTGGATCTATACATTGGACAAGAACAGATGGCAAACTGGGGCATGACTGTAATCATGAATAAAAATCATGAAGTTCCAGGAGCCTCCCAGGTGGCCTAAGGGTTAAGTCTCAACACTATCACTGCTAGGGCATGAGTTCGAAGCCCAGCCCCAGAGCTGATACACAGGTTATGCAGCAGACTTCTATCTCATCCACTGCTCTCTTCAGAAGTGTTTTCAGTAGATTTGCCTCTTTTGCTCTCCACTCTGTCTCCGGTGAATCCTCTCATTTACCACACCCCTAGCCTATAACCCAGTTCTTCTAAGCAAAACAAAAACAAAGTAAAATAAAACAAAATCACAAAGTTCCTGATACTTAAAAGAAAATTTTAAATGTATATCTATATATTTAAAGTTCACATTGAACATGCATACCTTACTGTTGTATGAAATCATACTTTCAATCCTTGAACATGAGTGTTAAGACAGCTCTATGATTTGTGAGATAATTAGTACATGCTAGTTCTGATTTAGAACATTGCAAAAACTATCTCAACCAGACTTGGGGTAGGTCAAAATCATTTAATATCAGATATGAACTGGAAATTTTTTTGCCCATAAAAGCCAAAAATAATAGCACAAATTTTATTACTTGCTAACACTTTAGTTCTATCTGCTACTCTGTGGCCTCAGTATGATTGATATTCTACTTTACAGTTGAGGGAACTCAGAGAGGGTAAGTAACTTGCCCAAATATTCACACATAGTAAGTAGTGAAGCCAGGATTCTGACTCAGACTCATGACTCCCAAGACCAAGATCCTTACCATTTCTTGCACTTTGGGTACCAGAATTTAACTTATGTACGTACACAAAACTATTTGTTTTCCTTTTTTAGTGAAATGGGCCCAAAATCTGGAAAGTCATATGAATTCCAGTGTCCTACTTGTTGACCAAATGCTATCTCAAGTCAAAAAATTAGATAATTACTAAGGGAATTCAACAATATGATGCCTTGTCTAGCAGTGGACAAGGCTGTACTGGAACTACTTTGTATTTAATTAAGTAGTTAATGACTTCTGGACTATGATTGATGACTTTAGTAGATGATCACTACTGGCATAAAGCAAAGCCCACCTTTAACAAGGCAAAAAATAGCTATGCTAAAGTGGTTAATGATGTATGTATTTGAGGAAACTATGACTTAGTGCATTAAAATCATTATCGAGTAGTTATGTAGAGGGAGCTTGATAATCTACAACTCTAAACATTACAACATGGAGCAGAGTTCTGGCTCTGGACACTATATTATGTTGCTTTCCTTTGAACAGCCATGCACTGGTTTCTGGTTCCTGGGTCTTTAGCCTTTAGCCTTAACTCTATATGCCTCAAGCCTCTGCTGATCTTTCCTTTCTTATTTATTTTTGTGTAGAAGAACTGGGTGCACAGGCCAGAGGTGAGGGAGGTGAGAGAATTCACCAGAGGCAGAGTGGGGGGCAGAACAGGTGGATTTACTGAAATACACTGCTGGGTGAGACAGCAGAGATCTGCTGTGCCATATGTGGGTCGGCTCCCTGGCCAGGCATTGAACTCAGGCCCTTGTGATGATAGCATTAAGACTTAACCTGTAGGCCACCAAGGAGGCTCTGATCTCATATTGGGAAAGCTTATCTCAAGGTATAAGCATCACAGATAAGCTGATGCCTTCAAAATATGTAATTCCATTTCTGACCTCTCACTCAACTCTGGGGAGTATCTATTTTAACATCTAAATCATCTAAATACCTCAAAGTCAAGATACCCAAACTGTATCTGATGTTTTACTTTCTTTTTATGGTACTGTCTTCATTTATCCAGATCCCATATATTAGAGGCATTTGTTATTTGTCCATGTCTTATGCTGAATCTACAGTCATTAATCTACCTGTTGTGAGAACTGGTCTCTTCCATTCCATTCTCATTGTTTTCCCTCAACTTGCTTTTCCA